CGATAATTTAAAGGGAGAGTAAGTGATTCTGCTGACAGATTGTTGATATTAGAACTCAGCTGCCAAACAAATACATCCCTCCCTTCTGTGCTCCCTCAGAAGCCCCTCAAATTTCAAATTTCAGAGGTTTCTCCTGCATCAATTTTCCTAGCCGTATTATTGCAGCACCTAGTGAAAAGGTCCTTTAGGTAGCGTAGAGCACCACTCTTTATACCAGGCAAGCGCTCTTGATGGTGCAGGAGTAGAAATCCCTCAGTATTTGAGGTTATAACCTGAATTTTTAGAGTTACTACTGTTCAATTGATGTCATTGGTGACATTAACAGTGGTGTCCTGGAATGTCATGTAGCGCAGACTGTGGCCTCTAATTGGCCTGACCATTTCCTGACCACTTGTGTCACTAGGGCCATGCATACTTTGACATCAGCAAGACTGTCACTCTACCTGAACACGATTCTGCTCTGTAGCGTTTTTTTTGAATGGCATGTTGCAGTGGTCCAGTGTTTGTTCCCCTTGTGGCGCAGTCAGTATGTTGATAGAAGTCAGCCGTAGCCTTCAGAGTTTTCAACTATCAGCTGTGAGGTTTATACCCAGAATGCTGCTGTTCTGCTGAAGAGACCATATGGACATAACAAAATAGATCTAAGATGGTTAATTTCTTCTTTCTAAAATTGGGGTTCTTCTGACTGACCCACTGTGAGCGGGGCTTCAGTAAATCTATTGCATGACAGACACAAAATGGCCACTCCACACACAGATTTATCATAGTCAGCCATGCAGAAATCGGCCAGAAAATCCACATATCATAAATCACGATGTCGCTCTTATTTATTGCAGATTCATTTTCACTACAACCATTACCCTGGTGCCACTGAGGCCTGTCGCAACATTTATGATTTATAAAAAACAATCCATATTATTCATTTGTCAGATCTCTTCAGTCATTAATCATACCCGTATACTTATACCGTCAAACCTCAGTTTCGAACACATCTAGCTTTAGCCTTATAATAACATCTGTGGTGATGTGGATTTCTAAAGTAAGTTTTTGAAATGGCACAAACTGGCAACAGGAAACGCTGGCCAAGTGTAAAGAAGTCTGCCAACAAAATGGCAAGAAATCTAACAAACATCTAGAGATCAACCATGCATTTCATTTTATTAGTCTTACAGTCAAGATATTTAGCTGGATCACACAAGTATTTTAACACTTGTGCTAGTTATGTAGCACTGACAGAATACTGTTCTTGAAATTGATGAACCAAACCAGAATATTTAAAAAATAATCATAACAAACCTTTAGGTGGAGAACAAGTTATGTCTTAATACATGGCAAATTCTGCTGAAAAGTTGGAGAAAAAAGCACAAATTCAGTTCCTCGGCACCCGGATCATACAGCATCCCCCCATACCTTCCAAATATAAGGGAGATTTACTGTGGCCATAACTTTTCCTTATGCCACCTCTCCTTCTGACATTTTTATGGATGACCCCTCGCAGGACTCATCCAAGCTCATCCATCAAATGCCGACTCCAAATGGAATGGCTTACGGATGCCATTAAAACCATTATGGGTTGATAACAATCACCTTACTTCATCTTCATTTCAGTAATAAAGAAGTTCTATTCATTCTCAATTTATTTCCATTCCATATTTCAGCAAAATGGCTATGACAAACCTCTCTGGGTGAATGTCATTTTGTATTGACTTTTTATTTTCCGTGTATCACCAAATATATTAAACAAAATATTATATTTGAATATTGGATGTTTGGATCTGGGTATTCATAGACCATAACAAAATAATTAAAAACCTGCTAATATTGATTTGTTTTTCTAGTAAAATTCTGCCTTTCCTCTGCTTTTCTTTTCTACTTACATGCTCCATCTGAAGCAGGGTGTTCTTATTCCAGCTCTGCTGGTAAACTTCCTCATGGATGACCTAGCATGGTTCCTCTGGTACACAGATAAAGCTGTTTTTTCCTCACAGTGGGTTGTAGATGGAGAGACAGGCAGGGATGCACTCTCACCTTAGGGGAGCCATGCTGGAGACAAGATGCAGTTTGACTTTGCCAGGCCAAAAGGTAGATGAGGGAATACAGGAAAAAATAGTTTTTCTTCAGCCACATATTGGTGGGTGTGAATTCTTCTGTCTGACAGTGTTGTTACTTTAATAACAAAATCACAAAAAGTAATCAGTGCTAAACTAGCTTAACTACTTTAACCAACCACTTTTTATTTTTTATTTTTTTACCACAACCATAACAGCATGATGAATCCTCCAAATGTTGAATGCTGTAAAGAGACAGTTTTATCCCTAATGGATTTGATAAAAAAAAAAAAAACGTGATAAAACTTGCTGCATCAGTGTTCAAATGTATGTTGTTTTCTAGCAAGTAGGGCACCACTGAAATTGACAGCATGTCTCCTAGCATGGGCGACAGAGTTGTTGCTTAATTGATGCTATTGGAAACAGTCAGAGGTTCAAGGCTAGAGACATTCCACAATTAAGTCCAAAACAGTTTTATCCTCTTCCTAAAAAATATTATTATATATTATTATAAATATATTATATAATATAATATATTATATAGTGCCAGTTCATAACAGAGGTTAACTCATTGCACTTTTCAAATACAGCAGGCCTTCTTTAAAATATAGTGATAGTGTCTACCTCCTAAACCTAAACTGGGACTTGATTCCACAGGAGAGTAGCTAATATCTAATGCCTCTGGCTCCCATTCTACTTTTGGAGACTCTAAGAACAACAAGTAACCCTGCATTCTGGGAGCGCAGTGTTCTAGTTGCTTAATAAGGTACTATAAGCTCTTTAAGATGTAATGGTGCCTGACCATTAAGGGCTTTGTAGGTGAGGAGAATAATTTTAAATTCTATGCTGGATTTTACACGGAGCCGGTGCAGAGAAGCTAAACCAGACCAAATATGATCTCTTATCCTGGTTCTTGTCAGTACATGTACCACAGCATTCTGGATCAACAGGAGAGTCTTAAGGGACTCAAAGCAGTCTGATAATAAGGAATTGCAAAAATCCAACCTAGAAGTAACAAATGAATGGACTAGTTTTTCTGTATAATTTTGAAAGAGGATGTTTCATGTTGGCCTGATTTGAGCAATGTTACTGTTCATAGTTGAAAAAAGGCAGTCCTTGCAATTTGTTTTACGTGGGAGTAATGTAAATTACATATTTTTAAATCAGATAATTGCAGATCATCCAAGTTTTTACATCCTTAAGGCACGCTTGAAGTTGAACTGAGTGGTGTCATCTGGCTTGATTGATAGATATAATTAGTGTAGAGTATCATCTGCATAACAATGAAAGTTTTATGGAATGTTTCCTGATAATGTTGCATAGGAAGCATATATAAGGTAAATAGGATTGGTCCAAGCACGGAACCTTGTGGAACTTTATGACTAACTACGGTGTGCATGGAGGATTCATTGTTAACATGTACAAACTGATATGTAATAAAAAAACAACTTTAACTAGCTTAGAGCGGTCTGTAATAAGATGTGATGGTCAAAAGTGTCGTTACTACTGAGGGCTATAGGAAGACATGGCTCTATAGAGCTGTGGCTACAGTGCTGAAAAGAAATCTGGGGTAGTTCTTATTTGTCCATATTAATGCTGAGTAATAAGCTATTCTGTCGTTACAGAGTGCCTTCCTATATGTTTTAAGAGAAAGTGCTGAGACTAACTGCCACCTCTCAGACACTGACCAGTGTCACCACAACATTGCTTTCCAGACACCAATGAGAGTAAACTAATTTATAACACAATGTAAAGCAACCTTTTTAGAACATTAGAAAGAGGAAACTAAAAACCAAACTAGATTAGAATATTATCTGGCCCTTGAAATATGTCTCTCTACTGTCAGATATAGAAAGCAGAGACAGATCCTAACCAAGTACACTTTTCTCCCTCATCACGTTAGAGTGGCCTATGTTGTGTGGGATGAGTCTTTGAGGAAGTGATGCCTGAGGTGTCTGTGTTAAGGAGATGAAAGCTGTGGCCATTTTGTTTCATTCTTTTTTGTTCTATTCTTTTTTCACATAAAAGCTGCACTAATGCAGATCCTCATGGTGTCTTGGTGGCTGATAGATTGTGTTGTGGCTGAGCCCACAGTCTAGTATTTTCACTTAAGCGACAGTCAGTTAATTGATGATGATCTCACAGATAACTCCTGACTGGACCATTTTTCTTTGATATCCCTCAGCTCTGCTGGGCCTTTCCTCTCTTTCTTTCAGCTCTTCTTTGTTTCTCTCCGGTATTTCTCCTTTCTCTTTTACCAAGATGGCAAATACAGTCAGTATCCTGGCTTCTCTCTGTGGCTTCCTTCCAATTTTTGGTTCTCTCAGTCTCATCACAAGCCATAACCACTGTGTCACAAGCCAGCTGTTTGACAGGAAATGGCAATTTCACTGGCAAGATTAGGCTTTTGATGTTGTTAGATGATAGCTGCATTATCTGTGGTATCGTCTCACTTCTCCTATTGCCTGCATTCCTCTCTGCACATGTTGAATATTTCTGAAGGTTCTTATTTTCTGACAGGGTGGCTCTGCTTATTTGTCAGGGAGGTCTTAAATTCTACTGATTATTACTTGATCAATGCTTATTTTTAATGACAACCCAGTACCTTCAGAGTTAGCCAAAAAAATATGAAAGAAAAATCACTTTCACCTTTTGACTTGGTAAAATTTAGGATTAACAAAAATGACCACACCTTTAATATTAGAACTTGAAATATGCACCAAAAAGGTTTAAGAAGAGCTCTGGTTTCTAAACCGAATTGAAGCCATGAAGTTTAATATTCAAACCTATACTACTATGTTTTTATTATTCTACTCTTCATTTAATATAAATATTATAGATGTCTTGGGTAACTTTTGGTTGAATGTTAACCCCTAATTTTAATCTGTCATGCTCTCTGACTCAAAATATACTGTTCCCAACACCTGTCCTCTTTTTTTCTTCTCACCACAGCAAGGGAGGAGAATGTAGCCACTTTCCGGGGCTCAGAATACTTCTGCTACGATCTCTCCCAGAACCCCATCCAGAGCAGCAGCGATGAGATTACGCTCTCCTTCAAGACATGGCAGCGCAACGGCCTTATCCTTCACACCGGCAAGTCAGCTGACTACGTCAACCTGGCGCTGAAGGACGGCGCTGTCTCACTTGTTATCAACCTGGGCTCTGGGGCCTTTGAAGCCATTGTGGAGCCAGTCAATGGGAAGTTTAACGACAACTCGTGGCATGATGTCAAAGTGACACGCAACCTCCGGCAGGTAAGGCACAGATGTGGGGTGGATTGTGTGAAGAAATGTATATTGTGGTTAGTTCTTAAATCTTATCTTAATGAATGGTATTGATGATGATGTATACAAGTTAAGTTCAAACATGCTAGCTAGCTGGTAGCATGCTGTTAGCCAGCCACAACAGCCTGCTAAGCTTACTGGCTTGGTTAAATATTCTGTATGGAGCCGTTACACAGAGCAGTGTATAGAATTGGATGGCGTTCCACAGCCAATATAATAGCTTCCTTCATTTTGGAGACTCAGCTGACCATTCCCTCAAAGGTTCCTTTGTGTGTCCAAGTTCACCACAGTTGAACCTAAAGCTAAAAGTTCTGCATGGATCTATTTTGAATCCATCAATGAATTCACTGATTGTGGCGCTTCCAATGAAATGAACAGATTTCAATCTAAAATGTAGCTGTAAGAAATTCTGTGAAAGTGTTACCATCATCATCTTATGGGATCTTTATGTACGATAGTGAAACCCAAATGTTTTAAATTGATAGCTCTCTATATAGCTCGCCATTTGGACCACTGTGCAAAGCAGTTTATTGCAGCAAATGATTTTGGTGTTATGCTGTTTAAACTGAATTTTCTTTCTGAATCTAATTACATATATCTATATTTCTTACTGGCTTTTAATTGTTTCTAGGTCTGATTTTCTCACTGTCTGTCATCTTAACTCTTTCTCTATTGTCATGACATTGCTGCACATTTAAAGGCTCTTTCCTTTATCTCTTTCCATTTGTTCTTCCTACTGCTATATCTTTCTGTGGACAGACGTTTTATGGGGTGATCAGAGGGAGAGGCTCTAGTCACCCAAGACCTCTGCTAATTACATAAGTGCAAATGAAAGGTTTGAAAAAATAGCAGATAAAACATAAAAAGTAACCTAAACTGACTGTTGACTTTAGTTAAGGTTGTAATCTTTTCAAAATTTCAGTCCTGGTTGGTTTGATGACAGGCTACAAGTGGTAACAGCAAGTGCACATTAATATTACAGCAAGCAGCTACTTTGTCAGGAATACAAAAGGGGAACAGCTGGTTTATCTGTTTACAGTGCAGTCAAACAAACTCACATTGGTTAAATAAAAAGTAATTCAATAATAATTGCAACCACGATCTAATTCTATGCAGCACACGATTCAGCAGATTTTTACACAACAGCAGGTCCCAGTAAAAGGAGTAGTTCCTGAGCAGTTGGAGGTCGCCTGCAGCTCATTTTCTAACCGCTAACCGTGGCTGCTCCTGACTCTTCCGCTACTCACAGACAGACTTACAACTCGTCCACTGACAAAAAATGACCAAAGATGTCTTGTTTTGTTAGATCCCGATCAGCGCTTACCTCGGTGACCAATCCATTGTGTTTCCTGGGACTGCTTCACAACAGAAGCCACCTTGTATTGACAGATGGATGCTTTTAATGCGAAGCAGCAGCAGTAGGAAACAGTGCGTTAGCATTTGCACTAACTTAATCCAGCTCTGATACAGCAGTAGCGGAGTAAACACAGTGAGGCTGATATCAATGAGATCAAATTACAAAGAGTAACAATGGATTACATACTGCTTTGTTTCCTATCAATCCCTCATGTTTAGGTAGTCAATTTCAATCATGTATGGGAAATGCAGATTCTCTTAGTTAAAATGAAAACTGCCGTTTTGGCCCTGATCCCGATCTGAGTCCTTTGATATCAAGTATCTGCCAAAATCAAGTCTGAACCGATATGATATTTACCTAGATGAGACAGGATAGAAATGAGTTTATCTGCAAATGACTTTTGGTGCCAAAAAAGCTTGTATTAGGCACAATGACATATAGACAGATAACAGCTGTAACCTTCTAAATTTGGCACACCTTGTCTTTTACAAGGTACTTGTTCCAAATACTTGAGATCCTGGCACCAAGACCAGAGTTTATCGAGACCAAGACAAGACCACGACTTTTAGGGGCTGAGACCAAGTCGAGACCAAGACCGAGGGAGGGTGAGACCGAATCAAGACCAATACCAGTTCCCCAAACTATTTGAAACACAATAAAATGTGGAACGAGATCATAGGTACTTATCAAATTGACCCTAAAAGATCCACATTCCCAAAACACCCACATACAAACACTAACAGCTGAAATCAATCAACATCTTTATTAAACACTCCTTTTCTGACCTTACCATCGTGGGGAGGGGGGACAGTCATTAATGGGAACAACACAATTTTATTTAGGGTTATTATTGGTTTCATTTGAAGCAATAAGTTTTACATCCGATCAAAGTTAGGATGTTAATAAATCAGACGATGCACAAGCAATTTATTGATATTCCCAAAGTTATGGTCTTGACTGGTCTTGAAATAAAATCCCGATTCCCCAATGACCGAGACAAGACCGAGTACAAATGAGTTGAGTATGCAGAACGTCTTTGCTAGTGGGAAGTAAGTTTACCAAATCTGTGTATTTTGCTAATCCAGGTGTCATAACTCACATCGTTGCAACCAAATAATTTTTACATTTACATACTCATCATGTGCAATCAACATTCTGCACTGTAGAACCCAGCAGTAAAGAAGAGCAGCTGTACAACATTGGCAAGTTTTAGTGTACAAATCACAGAAGAGTGAAGAAAGGATAAATATGCCTTGATCAGCAAGGAACTTCAAGGGACATTTCCTTTCAAGTGCTTTTGAGCAAGACACCACAGATGTAAGAACCTCTGTAAGATGACAAACATCTTTGAATGTTTTTGGGAAACAAGGCCAAGTATGCCCTGATTTCTATTCCAATCCTCTGTTTCTACCTCCTACCTACCTACCCTATCTACTCTAAGTATTTCTTACTAACATGTGTACTAACTCCCTCAATTTTCACCATTTTGTTTTCATTTGATTTGCTTTAATTTATTAAAAAACACTTCTATGAATTCGTTTCTCACCCACCCCACCTTTCTACAAAGCAAACAGCCATTGGATACGCTATGGTAAACACACTGCATTGTATGGTAGATATCATTCTTTTTGTCATTTTTTTTGTTTTCTGTGTGCTTCTTCCCTTCTTTCACTTCTGTGCATCGAGATACCATTTCCCAAAAATCAAGAAATTGGTTTTGTATTTCTCAGCTTTTATGTTGGTTTTACTTTTCTTGTCCCTCTATCCATTCTCCTGGGTCATTTCTGCTTTCCTTTTTAATCTCTTCTGCTTCATTACAGATTTTCCTATTAAATGGTTTTTCATGGTAATATTGTGGAAACTGTTAGGAGAGTACAAGAACCAAAAAAGAAAGAAAAAACCCACAGTGGAACTCTTAACTTGTGTCCTATTCACTATGTGTATGAAAAGATAAGAAAACTGGATTCTAATTGGTCTTGAAATTTCTTGAATATTTGGACATTTTGAAAGTCTAAAATACTTAGAACTAAGAACAGAGGATAATTTTGGGGGTCAGACTACAAATACTCAATCAAGCATCCCAAGTTTTAGAAGTAGTATATCACGTATCAAAAGTGAATGTACTTACCATATAGTATAGACCCTTTTAGCTTTGTATTATTTGCGTTGTATTATAGGGGAGACTGGTATGGTTGTAACACTTTTTGTTTCAGGAACTAAAACTTGCTGATTTTTTTAGCTAGAGTTCTAAAACCTTTATACAAATACCCACATTTGTTCACTACACATGGCACCAATTCAGTCATCTACAAGATATGACAGACCTCGTGAGTTGAACAATGTTTCTCTCTCACTGTAACAGACTTTGTCTGATGACTCACACACATGCATGTGTATGTAAATCTAAGCTATAGAATAACCTTAATTAACAGTATACTTAATAAATACTACAATGTACTTAACATCCTTAAGTCTAACAAAAAAGAGGAGTGTGTCTGTGTGTGTCAATGTGTGTAAATGTCACAGTCAGTGCTTGAAGTTGGCCGGTACTCACCGGTACTCTGTACACATACGCCGTACAAGCACTTCTATATTTTACTCTTTGGCGTACTGGGACATTTTTATGTGCACCAGAATTTCTCACAAGCTGCCTGTACACTTCTCTGCCCTCTCCACCGGCGAAGACGTAAGGAAACGATTGCGAGCCGATGCACAAGCCAACATGTGAACGACATTGCTGGTAACCCTGGAGTGCCGGCTTGGTGGGCCCAGATACTGTAAAGGGCACTCTGTAAAATATTAAAATCAAGAAAGTCCCTCGTGAATATAGAGCACTTTTTAAAGAAGTGTTACAACCCACCCCACCCCTGTCAGCCATGTTTAGCTAGCTGTTTTAGCATAGTGGTTTGAAATTAGAAAGGAAAAAAGCATCACATTTTGCCTAAGAAAGTACATTTCAATCTAATATACAGTAAGTGAAAGAATTTTATCTGCAACAGTATAGATACTAAAAAATATATTTAAAAATTTACTTTCTGACCTCAAAATCAGTTTTTTCTATATATATTCGGAATGTACATGTTTTCTGACTTGATGACCACCATGCCTAATCGCAGAGGAAGTAGGTAAATATGATGATCACATAACTTATCTCCAATTGGTGGAATTGGTTTTGTTACAACTCTCCCCATGTTACAACCATACCCAGTCTCCCCTAAACTGTATATGCAGTATTAATGTATTATTATTACTGTCAAAATTAACAAAACAAGAAACATTTTAACGTTGAGGAGATTGTTACTATGTTATGTAGTACTTTGTTTATAAACGGATCAAATGTTCTGAAGAGCAACAACAAATAAATGTAGTAGTAAGAAGAAGCATAAAATGAAATACTTAAGTCCAAGTACATAAATATTATACACTACATGAATGAACGTACATTGTACTTTATTTTACTCTGTTATTTTCCACATCTGCTTGTCAATTTCTTGTCAAAGGTCTGAGGTTTCGTCATCATTGGGTTTTCACTACTTTACATTATTCCCAGACTGATGCCCTGCAGTGTGGGTCTTTACTCTGTCGTATGTCCTGCATGTTTGCGTTACATTTTGTGTGACTTGCCACTAGCTCCTCCTTCCTGTCTGTTAGTTTGTGAGTGTTTTTTTTTGTCTGCTCCTGCATGTTGCTTCTGTTACCACACACACACACACACACACACACACACACACACACACACACACACACACACACACACACACACACACACACGAAGATGAATATCATTGCATGTTTGTCGGTGTCTGGAGCTAAATTCACCCAGTTAACATCTTTGTTTTGACATTTTACTAAACCTTCATACCTATCAATAGTTTCAACACCCACATGTACCATCTACTAACTCACATCAAAAATAAAGAAAATTGTGGGCTGGCAGATTTTCTTTATATCTGTCTTCTTTAATCCATAACACAGGTAAAACCATCACCAAGTCTGGTATTTATAGTTCATATATAGTATAATTTGAGTATAATACGTGAGTGACCTCAAAAACAACACTGTAGGCTTCTTCTTCTTCTTCTGTCCTTAAAATCCAAGGAAAACATTCTGTTGTCCCCCTCACTGTTCACTCCTCATTGTCAGGTGACAATATCAGTGGATGGGATTCTGACCACCACGGGTTACACCCAGGAAGACTACACCATGCTGGGCTCTGATGACTTCTTCTATGTGGGTGGAAGCCCTAGCACCGCTGACCTGCCTGGATCTCCAGTGAGCAACAACTTCATGGGCTGTCTCAAGGAGGTAAAATATTGGATCCATTGTTTACATTTAGTGAAATGTGGTGCTGTAGTGAATATTGCTTGCTAAACAGCTCTTTTTCATTTTGAATTGGGAATGTTTAGATGTGTTTATATTATAATTTTTCAATCAATTACCATTTAAATATAAGGTATTACTTTTTCCGCTAGATCTTTTTTTCCCCGATGAAAATGTTCATGCTACGAAAGTGTGCTATGCTGAGCCAGTATCTGCAATCATATCTTTATTTAGCCATGTTGTGTAGATCTAAACAAGGGGCCCCTCTGGTAACAAAAAGGGCCTTATGGAGGTGAGGGTTTGAAAGGAGTCCCACTATAAGAACCGTGTTGGCGTGAAGTTAAGCTGCTGTGCCTTGTGCGTAAAGCACACAACATCTCTCTTAATGGGGAGACGCTTTACCCTATTCACCTACCCGGAAATTAATAAAACGTGATTATCTCATACCCTTTTCCAAGGTAAATGGTAGGTCCACCTCCCAAAACTCTGCCCGCAAACAGTGGTGCACTCAGTTATTGCTCGCACAATGTCTTCATGTGTTTCCCCAAGCGTGGAACAGTTTTTCAAGTTGAAATGAGGGTTGCAACATTGTAATCAGCTGCGTCAGCATGGTCCTAAAGCCTTCATTTAAGTTGATCGTGTTATCAATGGTCTTTATTAAAATATTTTATTGACTATAGCATACATATAATTACAGACTTCGGGACCTCGGTGACCTCTTAGCTGGTTACGGCCATGTGTACTACTACATATGTTTTAGCATTTCCTCATTAAAAAGGGATTGATACATAACAACCCACATCCCCATGTAATATTATGGTACAAAATGCCTCTTTTTTGTTACCGTTTCTACCTGCCCATCATGATTTATGACTTGTGTTTGCAGTCCTGGCTAATGCTCATTGTGACACCAGATCAGATAAATTAACACATAAGGTTCAGTAGTGCAGCATGACCTGCTCTTAGCGGAATATACTTTGTTTTCTTTTTCCTCACTGGGTCTGTGTAGTGCTGATGATGCATGGTGAGGTTACCAAAACTGTCCAAAATTACCAATGTCCGTCAGTCCAAATGACTTCATGTTAATACCACTTGGTTTGTTTGTCAGTGTAAACACAAACCAGACCAGAACCAAAAGACAATAATGGATAATTTATTTTCCTTTGGTCCGGAACAAATGAATGGAACCACAGTGAGAAAGCGACCTAAACCACAGCTTCAAGCTATACCACAGAATCAACTGTGCTCCATACCCATCTTGTAGTTCCTAGTAGCTCAGGGTGTAAACCTTTATTATTATAAAATAATTATTAATCATTATTATAATTATTATAAAATGTATTTATAATTTTACAATAATTATAATATTATAAATTTTAAATGTATTTTAAAATTTGTTATTTAAATAAAATACAGCGAACATGAGAAAGTTGGCGTGTGTGACCATGTGGATGGCTCGTCAGTCAAAAATGGTGGAAGCTTAAGCAAAGGTTCGAGACCCAAAATGACAGAGACCTCCTCCTGTCTTCACCAAAATGGCGTGGAACACAGCTGGAGTTTAGGCCACAGCTATGGGTCTCAGATGTGTGAGTGTGTGTGTGTGTGTGTGTGTGTGTGTGTGTGTGTGTGTGTCTGTAGGCTAGTATAAGAAAAGAGAAATAGGCACACAAAGCAAGGTCTATAAGATCCAGGTTGCCACGGCTAGGTAAAATGTAAGTAACAGGTAAAAATACAAAAATTGTCACTTATCACACAGAAACCTGTAATGTTATCTTGTCTATAACAAACACGACAAAAGAAAACAGTCCACCGCATTAAGGTCTTCACCTGCGGAAATAAAGTTCAGTGCTGAAATGGGATTAGGGTTACTTCCTGTGGCAACGGCAGTTACAGTGGAAAGGCAAGGAGAAAATGGTGTGCTCTCGCTTTTTGGGTATAGTGACGTCATGGCGGCACCACAGGAGGCTCCGGCACTCCTGTGAGGTTTTGCCCAGTAAAAATACAGTATTTGAGTTCCTTTTAAAGACCAGAGGGGCTTTCAGGCTGTTTATTTGTTCAAGGCTTTTGGCTTCACATGCAGACCGCTTTGTTAAGGTCTTTTCACTGACACATTTCAAAAGTGCTTAGCACTTAACATACCAAACCGTTCAACAACATTCAGTGCTTCCACTTTAACTGACATTTCAACTGCTATCAGCAGTCATCCAGTTTCCACATTACATATTAACCCACATTTCAAATCATCTTGGCCTTCAAATTATGCTTCAGCTGCTCTGACTAAACTCCAGACACTTTCTATTCAACCCTTTTCAGTGCTGACATTTCAACTCCTTACAGTGCTTGCACCTTATCTGCTTTTTGTTTTATCATTACAACTTCAAATAACACAACTGTTTTCAGTGGTTATGCTTAAAACAGTAACAGATGTCAACTGCTCTCAGCACTTTCACTTCATACTGCTTTCATCGCTTACACATCAGCTGACACTTCAACTCTTTTGAGTACATCACTAGCTAAACTGTTTCTATGCAACAATCAAAGGAGAAATCAGAATCAGAAATACTAAGATACTAAACATAACACAATAACTTTTTCAGAAAAACATTGCATATTTGCATGTTATATTTTATGTTATTCATGTATTTACATATATTTCTATACAAATAGAACAATAAACCTATTTTTGGCTGTCTTCATTTTGCTTGACCTTCCTACTGCCATTAAATCTCATTGGAGCCTTCAGAAGAACAATTTCAGGGTGTAAGAATTGCTCCATTTAGTTAACCCGTACACATAAACACACACACACAAATATGCTGTTCCCGCAAGCTGATGATGTCATATTTTAGCACTTGTTTGGAGGCAGTCGCTGCAGCATGGCAGCAAGAACCCGGCTTTCTCTGACACACACAGAGTACACAGCATCATACGAGCCGCAGGGAGATGGAGGAAGTGGCGCAGTAGCCATTTAATCCCCCCTGGCCTACTTCCTGCTCTGTGCCATACTGGGGAGGTTTGCAATTCCCTGTACCACCCACCCCTGACACGCACACACACACACGTCCAGATACAAATAGAAACACACACACACACAAGGATGCACATAAGGTTTGAGTCCCTTATTTCCTCATCACAAAACACAGAGATATGAAGGATAAAGGTGATGTCACATAACAAATATCTCACACACACACACACACACACACACACACACACACACACACACACACACACACAACTAATAATGTCTAAAGCAACTCAACCTAAAACTGTGCATAAGCACAGCACTTTATTTACAATATTTCAGGGTTGATTTATGAACTCAGTAATCTGCAGGTCAAGCAGCACAGGGAAATGAAAACAGCGCATTCATCATTTTCAAATAAATAAAGGTTTGTTACGGTCATCAAATGATCAAATAAATCAGCATATTTGGGGTGGGGGTGTGGATGGGATTAAAGTAAAGTGTAACTGGATTATTTTGCTCAAAACTAGTAGTTGGTTGGGTTATAACACAAAGATACTGTCTGTTAATGTCTCAAAATATAAATATTTGTATTTACATTGAAACTGGATCTTGCCTGTATGCACAGAATTTATTGGAACAGCCTTTTTGTATTAAACAGTAGACGTTTAGCTGCTCAGAAATATACAAAATAATATATTTGAACCAAACAGAAAGTACAAGGCAAGAGTACAAGGCAAGATCTAAAATTACTTTACATATGATTTATAAGCATAATTATGGAATTAATTCAAGATGGACATACAGTAGACAGTCAGTTGTAAAGCCATAATATCAAAGCTTCAAAATCTGAATCTGCCTTTTGTTCTCCACAGCATCAAATAATACACACATGCACAGGCATTCATTTTTGCACTGGTCACAAACACACTGTGAGACTGTCATCATACGGTCTCCCTCATACAGTCACACACATTCTGCCCACCTCCTAATCACAGGCCCACCCACCCACACATGTGCAGCACCCACCATCTCCCTCTGTCTGCTGTCCTGCACTCTGTGGTTCTCCACTCCCTGCCATTAAGGCTAATTTGCCTGCTGCCAATGCTCTTGTCCTCGCCATCTACAGAGCGGCATTATGGATAAATGTTTTGTTACCATGGCACCAGGTACTGGTCGCAGTCGGTAGCCCCCATGGCTGCTGGCCCATGATTATTATGCCTTTCATAAGCCAGCAATTACAGAGAAAGCCTACATCTCAAAACCTACAAAATACATAATAGCCTACAATAACACATAATTGCTATAATTGTCATTGTCATTACACCTCCATCATCCACTCAAATGGAGCCTTCTGGCTATACCTGTATACTGTAGCCAAAGAAACACAAAAGACGAGTTTACAGACTGATCACTGAGGATGAGCAAAACAGCACTGACTGCTGTTCTCAGTTTCCTCCAGTGGCAGTGATTTGTTACTGTATTTAAATGTTTTTCTTTCATTTAAACCACTATTAAGCTTTCTGATTTCTCTTCCACTAAAAAGGTTTCCCAAAAGCAGTTTAATTTCATAAACGCTAACTTTTGATCTCATTTTAGCGAGGGGGAGTCTCTGGTACCTAGTCATGCACTGGTGGCATTCCACCAAGTGCATTTACTCAAGTACTGTGCTCACAATGTCCAGCTCCTTGTCCCAAAGACATTATGATTAATGGACGAAGCCACTCCGTGGGTTTGAATGGAGGGCAGTGAAGCCAATTTTTGTACTATGTAGTACTACTTTATGGTTACTTCCTATTGGCTCCAGGGTCTACTGCGCATGATCGTGCAGCATAAGATGCTGCTTAGTGATGTAGAGCAACGGCAGAAACACCGTATTCGTGGTAGCTGCGTGTCTGACTTGGATTGTGAGTTTAATGCTTTGTTCCAGGCAACTCGGAACTGGGAAATTTCCGACCTCCAACTAGAAAAACTATCCGGGAACGCCACTTGAAGTCTGATTTCCTACTTGTGAACTGGG